ATATATATAAAATGAAAAGTGTGTTTGCATAAACAGAGTAGCAAAATGTAAACCAAAACCAACCTCACTGCTATCAAGTCAATTCTGACTCATAGTCACCTCATTGGGTTTCTAGGACTGTAAATCGTTACAGAAGCAGACTGCCTCATCTTTCTCCTGTGGAGTGGCTGGTAGGTTTGAAACATTGACCTTTTGGTTAGCAGCCAAATGTTTCAACCACTATACCACCAGAGCACCTTAACAAAACATAAGGATTCACTGAAAAAACAAAAATTAAAAACAACTTATTCAAAATAATCTTGGTTCACTCAACAATATTGATAAACTTACCAAATGTGGTTTGTTTCTCAATGCTTAAGGGGTATTTTGAGGGCCACAACAAGAGGATATTTGGTCTCCATGCTGAAAAAGCTCAGCTTGGTGGATGTCGTTCTGTTAGCTGCTGTGGAGTTGGCCCCAACTCATGGCAACCCCACATATAACAGGATTTGCCTATTATGAGCCATAAGGTTTTCACTGGCTGATTTTTGGAAGTAGATTGTCAGGTCTTTCTTCCTAGTCTGTCTTAATCCGGAAGTTTTGCTGAAACCTGTTCAGCATCATAACAATAAGAAGGCTAACACATTTTAAAACATATGGTATATTTTATACCAAAGAGAACTTCCACCTTTCTCTCACCATGGTTTGATACCCTCTCCACCCCCTTCCTTCCCGGAGTAGCCACGCTTATTGGTCAGAGCACAGGATTTGTCTTGAGCCTGGCTGGGCAGGGACCTAGGAGTCCCTGGGCAGTACAGATGGTTAAGCGCTGAGCTGCTAACCAAAAAGTTGGCAGTTTGAACCTATCCAGAGGCAACTCAGATGAGAGGCCTGGTGATCTGCTTCTGGTCACAGCAGTCAAAACCCTGTGGAGCACAGTTCTACTCCAACACATATGGAGTCACTGATGGCACCTCGGGTATTTTTTTGGGGGGCATGCAAGGATCTGGGCCCCACTTCTTGTTTGCACAGAGCCAGGCTCTGGTCATATTGCTCCTCTTCACTTGCAACCTGCCCTTCTAAGACTGAGTAAACAAGTAAGTTTAGGTTGGACAAAAAAGAGGGTTATCAAGCACAAAGAAAGAGGAATATCAAGCTTTTCAGTGTAACGAGGTGGTACAGTCAGGGGTGATGAAAGATCAGACTGAAGTGCAGGCGTGAAATAATCAGATTCTTGTTAGACAGACCTTTCTGGCAGCAACATGGAAGATGAATTTGAGAGGCAGAGGCTATTTTGGAGGTGGCTGCACTAATGCAGCTCCAAGTGAACCCCAATTCAAGAGGCTCTGATGGTACTCAATCTCACTCTAAGGACACCAGCCAGCATCAAAGTGAATGCAGTTGGAAAAGAAGTTGAATAAAGATGGGACTGCTGAGATGGTAACAGACTTCCTCTCTCCCACCAACTCCCGCTGCTGGGTAATGGCTGCCCAGTGGATAGGACTGAAAGAATTCTAAGGCTCAAATCCAGCTCAGCAGGGAAGTGTTTCCTCATCAACTGGTGGTAACAAACTTGAGCAGGAAGGTGGAAGGGGAAGAAACGTGTGCTCTTTCTTTCCGAAACTGTATTATGAGCATGTGTTAGAGAGTGCAAAATGGATAAAATAGAGAAAGAATAAAAAGAAGATGGATATGAGAGAATAAAGAAAACCAATGGGAGCAAAAAACAAAAACAAAACAATCCACTGCCATCAAGTCAGTTCTGACTCATAGAGACTCCCATTGGGTTTCCAAGACAGTAAACCTTTTTGGAAGTAGATTGCTTTGTCTTTCTTTTGCAGAGTGGCTGGTGGGTTTGAGCAGCCAACCTTCTGGTTAGCAGGCAAATGCCTTAGGTACTGCATGACCTGAGCGCCTTGATGGGAGCAAGAACCAGTGCAAATGTGGGAGTGGTGTTAAGAGTTGATGCATGACCAAAAGGGTGAGGCCTAAAGAGGAGAAAAAAACCTTATCTCCTTCCCAGTCATCAGTCACAACACATCCAGGACTGATTATCTGCCCAGTCCAGGGTTTCTCCTGTGGGAAAGTCCACAGCCATCTGTGGTGCTGGTTAAAAATGCAGATCCCTGGGCCCCAAGGGAGTCAGAATCTAAATCTATGATAGACATAACTCTATTAAACACAATCACTGAGAATGAAATCCTCTGGTCTGAGTCAAATGGATTGGACCCTCCTGGGTAGTGCAAACCCACTAACCAAAAGGCTGGCAGTTCAAACCTACACAAAGGCACTTCAGAAGAAAGACCTGGTGATCCTAGAAGTGACATTTGTTATATAGGAAAACACAGGCAATCACAATAGCAGGAGATAACTATATAAACTATAATCAACAGAAATGCATCAAAGATGACAATATTGGGAATAACTGTAGAATGCTGTATCTTGTCTGATACTACAGTACAAAACTGGAAACTAGTCTCTGGATTTACATGCAGATTAGGTGCACATCTACCTAGTGGGAACACCATTCGGGTTACATATAGTGCTGTGAGTCACAAATCTATGAAATTGCATAATTTTGTTTCACAATAAATACCTTTTTAAATTCATCTTCTTTATCATTAGCATCTTCACTCCCAATGTTAGCATCAAATTCAGTACTTTCACCTTCATCTGTTTCACTTCCAAAAACAACATGTTTCCGCTGTTCTGTAGATAAAAGACAAAACAAAAACAGAGCATTTAATTTTTAGCATTTGGCTTATTCTATTTGACTGCTAACCAGAAGGCTGTTGGTTCAAATTCACCAGCCACTCTTCAGAAGGAAGATTGGGCAATCTGCTTCCATAGAGATAAAAACCGAAAACAAAACTCACTGCCATCGAGTCAGATCCAACTCATAGAGACCCTTCCTTGGGATTCTGAGGCAGTAGAGATACCACCTTGGAAATCCAGGGAGGGGTCACTATGAGTCAAATCACCTCAAAGGCAGTGAGTTTGATTTTTCATTTATATGGTTAAAGCTTCTTAGGAAGCTCCTTAAAAAGCTTAAACTTTTATTCTGTAGGAGTCATCCTTAAATTCAGTTTAAATCATCCCTCTCAATGGGATTGTCCATTTACTAAGAAATACACTCTGTAAATATCTGTATCTTAGTATCTAGAATTAAGAAATATTCTAAGAGCATTTCCACCATATCATCTTTCTAAATTATCTGTTTGCCTTTTGAGTTTTCTAACCTCATGAACTGTTATTTTTGTGTTTGTGACACTTCTGAAGAAAACTAATTAAACAACCAAGTGAGAAACTTTAAGAGAAAGAAGACATGGTGTGCATACTAATTGCAGGCTCAGGGTTTCTCAACCTCAGCACTATTGACATTTTGGGCCAGATAATTCTTTGTTGGGGGTTGAGGAAATGGCTCTGTGGTAGCTCAGTTTGTATGTCACCTTGGCTGGGCCTGGTTGAGCGGCTGGGCAGCTGGTGGTAGTTATTCCCCATGATGAGACAGGCAGTCAACTCCATGGTGGGATCTACCACAAGCAGCGGAGTGGCTGCCTTTGGGATATGGTCTGCTTCCTATATATAAGAAACCTTGGGGACAGCCTCTAGCTTATGGCACGCTTGGACCCTGCATGTAGCCGTGTCATAATTCAGCAGCCTGCCATGCTCTGCTGACCTTGGGACTTACAATGGACTTGAATTAATGGCCTACAGTGTGATTTGGTAATATAGGGACTGTGCCTTTTTACTTGTCAACCTTGGGCTTGGCAGCCTCAGCAGCCAGTAGCTGCCTGAGTGATGAAAAGCCTCTAGCTTCAGTGGGCTGGGAGCTGGAGGCAGAGCTGAAGCCCAAGGCTGAGGGGCTTTCACCCAGCCCCTAGAGCGTGGCACTTTGAACTAGGACTTGAAGCTTCCAAATTGTAAGAATAAACTCCTGCTTGTTAAGGCCATCCTATTTGTGGTATATTCTTGTCAGAGTGGCACTAGGTAACCAAAACAGGCTCTCTAGGATTTTTAGCAGCATCCCTGGTCTCTATCCACTAGATTCCAATAGCAACTCCCCAAGCTGTGTGACAACAAAAATGTCTCTAGATATTGCCAAATGTCCCTTGGGGAGCAAAATCTCCCTCCTCATTGAAGACCATTGTTCTAGGCACAGATATCTGTGTGTGTGTGTGTGTGTGTCTTTCTCTCTCTGTCTCTCTTCTCTCTTACCCTACAATGTTATTTTCATGAGATCTCTGCTTGTCTGCAATGTTTTCTCACCCCAAAAGCCAACTCCCCACATATTTCCTATTTCATATTCAAGGTAATTTTCTGATTAACATCTTCTCTGTTAGACAGAGCCATCTCTTGGGTCTCCTTGGAGAACCTATAAGTATCACACTCTTGTGTTATAAACACAGGGCTGGTCCAGTCAGTGGCCTATCCTACACAAACACAGTCTCATGCTACCTTCCTGAGCAGAGGATGGTGGGGAAACCAGACACTTGAGCAAACAGGGATCATGATTAACAGAAACACACCCTTATAATACTAACAAGTAAAACCTCCAATTACAAACCTTTAACATGCAATTACATTTTTCTCTTCAAATTGAACCAAGCACAGGACAATCTGGGCAACATTAAAAGTTCCATGTTTTTACCAAAATCTAGGCAGCAGGAAGCAAGGGATATGTTGCACATTCTACGATACATAAGACAGGCTCCCACAACAAAGAAGTAGCCTGCCCAAAACATCAGTAGGGCTGAGGTTAAGAAGGCCTCCCTTTAAAATATGTACGTGCAGAAAATCTTTTCTTAAAATCTCTGCTCCATGGCAGGGAGTGGGAAAGGGGGAGTCATTGCTTAGGGAGCACTGAGTTCTGTTAATGGTGATGGAACAATTTGAAAAAGGATAGTGGTAACAGACAACATGATGAATGTTATCAACATCACCAAATTATACATGGAAGAATTGTTGACTTGGTAGGTGTTTTGTTACATATACATATGTGTGTGTGTGTGTGTGTGTAATACATGCACACACGCACACATACATACATCCCTCGCTCCTGATAAACAGAATTCAAACTTACCTCCTTATCTTTTGGGCTTATTAATATGTATTTAGTGAAATGATGAAAATCTTGGGCTTCCTTGAGAGGTGGGTGTGATATTCTGAAATTGGGAGAATATGAAATCCAGTGGGGTCTGCAAAAAGGACATGGAGGCAGCATCTTCTGACCTCCTCTAACTTCACAAGGGGGAAACAGAGTCACCATCAGCAGCCCAAATCTAATTCCTGAGGCCAAACATGCCACCACTCTCCAAAAGTTTCTACCAATTCTGATACCAACCATGCCTTCCACAGCATTTACTACTTCTCTGCTGGATTTGATAATTCATTGCAATGGCCACACAGAACTCACAGTCAATACTCATGCTTATGGGGTTTATGAGGGAAGTAACAGGCCACAACTCAGGTTCAGGAATGCTCTCAGGATACAATTCTTCTGTCAGGACAGTCTCCCCTCTGCTATGCCCTCAGGCATGCCTCTCTGGGCCCTGGGCTCTCAGCTTGGACTCTGCCCTGCTCAGGCAAGTGTTCCAGAACTCTTTTAGCTCTGCCAATAGGTACACTATGTTCACTCCACTTCGCCAACACGGTTCCTGCCCAAGGACACTCAGCTTTCTTACTCCATGAGCCAGAAAGCTTGCTGCTCTGTCTCGTGACTCTTGGTTCTACTGCCACTATCTCTCAGGCAGACATTTCTGCGAGGGCATTTCTGCCAGGGAGTCTCTGTCAGGGGGTCTCTGCTGGGCTGTGTCTGCTGGGGTCTCTGCCAAGGAGGTCCAGTGTAGGCATCTTGGGTCCAAGGATGCGCTCTGCTCCACTCCATCTCTGGCTATTCACTATTGATGGCAGTGAGATCCCTCCTTCTGCCTCTAGGAGGGCTCATTTAAGCCCAGCAGCATGGCAAAACTAATCAACCCTGGCATTACAGTTCCTCACACCTTATTTGCATGATCCCACTCAATAATCTTGTGGGAGTCACAAAGACCATGGCTAGAAAAGCCATACCAAGTAACTGACTGAACCACAGGTCAAAACTGTTTCAACCACTCTATAATTCAGGCACCAAGTCATACAGACTTGTCTCAACTGACTTGGTAAAGTAAGGAAGTTCCTCTTATTTCCCAGTCAAGCAAACTTACTTAGGGTGATGAGGACGTGGGCAGAATCAAAGGCAGTTTGTTAAGACACAGAGCTATTTAGGTCATTCTTTAGTCAAGGAAAAAAACACATGGTGTGGCATGATCTTTGCTTCCATGGAAACTCACTCTTCAATTTGACTCCATGTACCTGTATCCTGAGCTCCTGAAGTAGTTGTAGATAGGAATGCATTGCTCATTCTATACAGAGAAGCGTCTTTAAAAAAAAAGTCTTAGGACAGTATCACCCAAATTAAGTTTTCCAGATTCATGAACATTTTAGGTTTTATTTTTGCTTAGTTCATTAAAATATATATATATATATATATATAGTCATGGTAAGAATACTGTATAAAGAAATTAACACAGCAGCCTAAGATTGCTATCCTCAGAAAGGCTTGCTTACAAGGATGGCCCTTAGCTGGGGTCCGGAAACTTGGATTTCAGAGGGGCTTCCCATCATTTCCTAACTGATAAGAATTGTACTTAAACTAATTGAACAAACAATGTGGTTTATGCTGAATACATTCTCTTCTTCTGGGTATCTGGAATTTTGGAATGTCTTAGAGGATGTCTACGTGACTAGACTCCAATAAAAACTGTGAGCACTGAGTCATCAGTGAGCTTCTCTGGTATGCAATATTTCACACATACTGTCACATTTTTATGTGACTCCAGTTTTATGTGACTCCACCAGGAGAGGACTCTTGGAGGCTTGTGCCTGGTTTCCTGTGGACTTCACCTTCTGTGCCTTTTCCTTTGCTGATTTTGCTTTGTATCTTTTTTTACTGGAATGATTCATATCTGTGAGTACAACTATACGCTCGAGTCCTGTGAGTCATCATAGTGAATCTTGGGGATCCCCACACAAATGCTAAACATCCAGACTTGGGAATGACATCAATTGTACTGATTATAGACATATTGTCACTTAAACCTTAAAAAAAAAAAAAAGAAAGAAAAGAAAATGGGGAACCAGACTTCCCATCTTTTCAGTTTATGGAAGAGTCAGCAGAGCAGCTTCATGGTCAGGACAAGCCTGGATTTCCAAACCCAGATCATAGGTATTTCTCTTAACCAAAGCTTTTAATACTTAAAAGTAAATAAATAAATAAAAAGTAAAATTACTGAGCATTCTCAAAACATATTATAAAACTATAGTAATCAAAGTAGTCTGGTACTAGTAAAATAACAGACACATACACCAATAGGAGCTCTGGTAGCATAGTGCTTAAGGTATGTGACTGCTAACCAGAAGACTGGAGGTTCAAACCCATCACCCACTCCTCGGAAGGAAGGTTGGGCAATCTACTTCCATAATGATACCACCTCAGGTCGCTATGAGTCAGATCCAACTCGATGGCAGTTCATTGCATGTTGCATATAGACCAATGGAATAAAATTAGGAGTCCAGAAATATGCCTGTATATCTATGGTCAATTGATTTTTGACAAGGGTACTAAATCCACCAAATGAGGAAAGAATAGTCTCTTTAATTATTGGTGCTGGGATACCTGGATTTCCAAAGAATGCACCTGGACCCATACATACCTCACACCATATATGAAAACTAACTCAGAATAGATCAAAGACCCAAGGGGAGGGCATGGTTGGCAAACAAACATAGAGGCTTGCATTTTTCATGTGAAAATACATTACTGAGCATTCACTCTATACCAGGCACTGGCATACTTTATTTAATATTTATTTAGTCTTCTCAGAAATTATGTGAGAATTATGTGTTATTGGTATCCTCATGTCCTAGGTGAAAGCTGAGGCTAGAGACATTAAGTAACTTGCCTGAGGACACATAGTAGAAAATAGCAAAGCCAGCATTTAAACTCAGATCTGTTTGATTCCAGAGTCTGTATCCATGATCACTATATTATGAGATGTTAAAATCCTCTGTAACAGTTAATTACAGATGTGACTCAGACTTACTTACGATGTACAAGGCACCATGCTAAAAACTATAAGCATCAAAATAATTATAAGGCACAGAAGTAGTAAATAATTTGTGCTAGTTTGCCATGGGAGTTCTAGTGGTCCAGTACCTAAGGCATTTGACTACTAACCAGAAGGTTGGCAGTTCAAACCCACCAGCCACTCCATGGAAGGAAGACAGGGCAATCTACTTTCATGAAGATTCACTGTCTTGGAAACCCGGTGGGGGTTGCTATGAGTTGGAATCAACTTGATGGCAGTGAATTTGTTGGGTTTTTTTTTTTTTGGTGGTTTAGGTTGCTATGAGTCAGAATCAACTAGACACAGTGGATATGTTTTTTTGGTTTAGTTCACAGAGCAGAGCAGTGATGATAATGAACAAAGGACCCATATGTCTATAGTACTTGTAATTCAAACATTATAATTACCAAAATTACCTGGTGTCTGTTTTAATGTTTTTCCACTGTACTTAACTTCATAAATTTTCTCAAATATTGATATAAGTTCTCTGACAGCTTCTTCCACATGCTTACTTTTGTGGTTTAAAATCTCAGCCCATTCTTTTGTATATGTCTATTAAGTAAAGAAATAAGTATTAATTCCCAGATATTGAAAGACACTATGAAAATTATTAATGTGACTTTATAAAAGTATAACTAACTTCACTTGAAATAACTGGAGATAGTTTCCAATAGCATAATGTTTCAGACCCAAAACTGTTTATGACTTCCTCATAACCAAAGGTGCTGTTGCTAAGATTCAAGCAAAGAAAAGGAAGAAAATCCAAAGTCTTTGACCTTTATCTGACTCACTCAGAGAGAGATCTACCTTCACATTCATATGGTCAGAAAGAAAGAAGTCTGAAGGAGTAACAAGAAGATGAGGTCAAAAGTTGAAAATAAGAAGTGATTTTTAAAAAGGACCATCCAAAGTGTTGCTTTGAGATTTAAATGAGATAGGTATATAATGAAGAAAGGTGCTGTCTATCAGGTATCAATTTAAGAGCTTTACATATATTAACTCATTTAATTAATCTTTAGTCATAGTGAATATTACTATTCTTATTACAAAAATGAGAAAACTGAGGCTTATAAAGGGTTGGAAATTTGTCCAAGATCATACAATATGTGGTAAGAAACAAGATTTGAAACCCGCTTTGTCTGATTCTAAAAGCCTGTGCTTTGCCTTTTTGAATTTTTTCCAATAGTCAGTAAAGGCTTTAGGAAGAAGGTGAGAACTAGTCAAGTTCAGAAAAGAAAACTGGGTTATAAAATTGAGTAAGTCTTTTGGGGTGTGCATAATATCTATGCATTTTAGGAAAGAGTAAAGTAAATCTGGGAGCAACCAACTTGGGCCTTCAAAAACACATCTGCAAAGGAACCCGAACCTATCTATGCAAACCGCTTTCCAGACAAGCCTTGGGAGACCACGTGCTCTTTTCTTGGATACTTGATTGAAGGACATACTCCTAAATCTCTTGTCTCCCGTGTATACCACCTCATCTGTATCTGAACCCATTCTTATCTCTTTTTAGTCACACAGAAAATGGTGTTCTTCCTCATAACCAAAGTCATTCTCTGATCCTCTCCACCCCTACCAACTGCTCTGACCTTGCTCCATCATTCATTCATTTAACCATGTTTTACTGTATCAAATTCAATGCTAAACAATGGAATGAAAATGGTGGATGAGAATCACTTTCACCAAGCAGCAAAATCAAGTTTTCAACAAATGGACACTTCCAAGTGAACACAGCAGATTGGACATGTCTTTATCTCCACTATGCCCTACTGGATATCTCCTAGGACACTGCTGGTTATACATGCAGATTGAACACACTTGTTTATCTCAGCAATCCCCTAAAATCTCCTGAAAGCTGCAAAATAGCAAAATAATCTTTCAAAGAGAACACACTCATAAAGATGAATGGGAAAATGCCACATAAATTCTTCTGTATACTTCCAGTAATGTATAATAATAATATAAATGGAATTCAACAAATAGTGCTGAAATGTCGGAATATCCACATGCAAAAGAATGAAGTTGGACTCTCGGACCTTATGCCATGAACAAAAATTAACTCAAAATGGATCATAGAACTAAGTGTAAGAGCTAAAACTATAAAACTCTCATAAGAAAGCCTAGGCATGAGCAGGAAAGCCTGGGAGGGAAGGGCACAGGGAAGAGGTAACTACAGGAAGCAAGTGGGAAGAGATCTGTTACAATGTAGGGAATTACAGTCAATGTCATGAAACAAAAGGTGTATGGACTGCTGTATGGAAAATGAATTTGTTCTGTAAATTTTCACCCAATCACAATAAAAATTAATAATAATAATAATAAAACCCTAGGCATAAAACTTCATGAACTTGGAGTAAGCAAAGTTTTCTTATATATGACACCAAAATAAATAAAGAAAAGAGAGATCAATTGGATATTATAAAAATTAAAAACCTTTTACATTCACACAGTGGGGTACTACGCTACATTAAAGAACAATGAAGAATACGTGAATCATTTCACAAAGTGGATGAACCTGGAGGACATTATGCTGCATGTAATAAGTCAATCACAGAAGGACAAATATTATATGAGCCCATTATTGTAAAAAGTCAAGGAAGGGTTTGCTTAGGGAAGGTAACTCACTTTGTAGGTTACTGGAGATAAAAGGGAAGGGGTGGGGATAATTTCAGACTAGTTGGGGGCCACATGCTGAGTTGGGTAAGGGAAGGGATGGCATGGAAAGAGTCTGTGACCAGCATGATAACATTGGGGAAAGGGAGGACACTGAATTGTGCACATAAGATATAGACAACAGAGGCTGATACCAGTATATCCACAATTAACACCAAACACCAGGCTACACATAAACACATAGGCAACTGAGAAGATCAGATAGGGGTCAGTGGAATATACAACAGGAATATACCCCAGACCAATGACAGATCAGATAGGGGTCAGTGGAATATACAACAGGAATATACCCCAGACCAATGACAGATTCAGCTGAGGCTAATCTTGCACAGATACTAGTGATGCAAAATACCCGCAATCATTACACAACCAACAGAAGACATAGAGCAATTCCTCACAGACAGATACTATGGGAGAGAGATCCACTGGATCTGCCTACTCAGGACCATAGTATTGGGGGACACTAGGCTCCACCAGCACAACAAAATACATTAAAATCTTGTTCCACAACCTACTCTGGTGAGTAGTGACTGGGGTCTTAAAAGCTTTCAAGCACCCATCTAAGATGCAGCTAATGGTCTCCTATCATTGGAAGCTAAAAAGAGTGAAGAAAACCAAGGGCATTTGGAAACAATCAGCTCTAGGACATGATGGACCTCAAGACCAGAAAAACAAGATGGGGCCAGGCTACCAATGCCACCCACTTGGGAAGGGATCAAAACTGGAGATCTTGGATAGAGTGGAGGAAAAACATGGAAAAAAAAATCCAAAAACACAATAATAACCAGAATTACTGGTCAGATGGAGTCTGGTGGGACCCCCAAGACAATGGCCCTGGGATACACTTTGGGCCTGGGATAAAACTCACTCCCAAGAGCTAGCTCTCAGCCCAACAGTAACTAAGACTTACATGCAGAACACTCAACCCAGAGTGATGCACCCACCTACTCTACGGAGATACATCCCTTGGAGCAATCAGCCATGGAGCACCAGAGGGGCAACATTTACACGGAGGAAAAGCTAGACAGAACGCATAAGGAGGCCACAGGGAGAAGGGGTTTACAAGGAAGGGAGAGAGAGTGGATTAGGGTTGGGGATGGTAACTGGAGAGTGAAAACAAATGTACACAAAATGTTGAATGTAAAACAAATTCTGCTCTGTAAATTTTCACCTAAAGCACAATTAAAAACAAACAAACCTTTGGACTTCAAAGAATACCATCAAGAAATTAAAAAGATAAACAAGAGAATGGGAAGAAAATTTTGCAAATCATAAATCTGACAGGGACTCAAATCCAGAACATATCCAGAACTCTTACAACTCAATAATAAAAAGACAATCCAATTTAAAAATGAACATAGGCTCTAAATAGACATTTCTGAAAGAAGATATACAAATGGCCAATAAGCATTAGGCATGCAGGAAATGCAAATCAAAACCATTATAAAGTATCATTTCATACCCACTACGATGTCTATAATAAAAAAGACAAATAATAACAAAATTAGCAAGAATATAGAGGAATTGGAATCCTCATACCCATCTGGTGGGAATGTAAAATGGTGAAGCCACTTTGAAATACAGTTTGACAGTTCTTCAAAATATTAAACATGGAGTTACCACGTGATCCAGCAATTCCAGTCCTAGGTATATACATAATAGAAATTAAAACGTTTGTCCATACAAAAACTTATCTCATAGAAGCATTACTCACAGTAGCCAAAAAGGTGAAAATGACTGGAACATTTAAACAAGCAAAACAAACAAAATAACCAAACTCACTGCTGTCAAGTAGATTCTGATTCATAGCAACCCTATAGGATAGGGTAGAACTTCCTCACAGAGTTTCCAAGGATGTAAATCTTTATGGAAGCAGAATACCACATCTTTATCCTACAGAGCAGCTGGTGGGTTTGAATCACCAGCCTTTCAATTACCAGCCGAGTTCTTTAATCACCAGAGCTCCTATAATATCCACATGATGGAATATTATTCATCCATGAAAAGGTATGAAGTACTGATACATGGGACAATATGAATGAACTTTGAAAATATTATTCTAACTGAAAGGAAATAAGCCAGTCACAAAAGACCACATATTGCATGATCCCATTTCTATGAAATGTCTAGAGGAGACAAATCTATAGAGGCAGAAAGTTGGTAAGTAGTTGCTAGGAGCTGGGGTTAGGGGTTCAGAGGAAATGAGTGGGGAGTGAGTGCTAAAGGAGACAAGATTTATTTTATGGTGATGAAAATATTCTAAAACTGATTGTGACAATGGTTGCATGACCCTATGAATATGCTAAAAACCTTGACTGGTACACTTTAAATGGGTTAATTCTATGGTATGTGAATTATATCTCAACAAAGTTGTTAATAATAATAATTGGTGGGGCCTCAAGCCAGGAATTGGCAGTGGGGGCATATGGGAGATTAAGAAAGTGAAGGCAGCAGGTGTTAGGATTTAGAGAAGTTTGGTCGTGAATGAGAAGTGCAGGGAGATAGGGGAAGGTTTTTTATTTTGTTAACAAAGAGAAAATGAGAGTGGATAAGACAAAGTTAAAGATCTAAGAGAGAGAGAGGAAGACTGATAGAGTAATGTTACCCAGGAGAAAAGAAAGCATAGGATCTGGAGCCCATTTAGAGGGCCTAGATACTGAAGATACAGGAGCTTTCTTCGTGGAACCAAAGGAAGTAATAGATGGATGTAGAAGTAGTGAAAAACATGCCAACAGCTCTGACTGTGAAAATTATTAGCATGACTTTAATTTAGAAAAGTATGAATAATCCCTGCCATGCTGTCAAGACCATCTTGCAGACACTCCTGGAGCTGATTATGTTCATTTGCCCCCCTGCCAACCCATTCTCTGCTCTGACGTAGTAGGAGCACTGGTGGTGTAGTAGGAGCTCTGGTGGTGTAGTAGGAGCTCTGGTGGCATAGTGCCTAAGGCATATGACTGCTAACCAGAAGGCTGGCGGTTCAAACCCACCAGCCACTCATCAGAAGGAAGACTGGGCAATCTACTTCCATGGAGATACTGCCTCGGAAACACAAGGAGGGGTCGCTATGAGTCGAATTCGACTCAACAGCAGTGAGGTTTTTTTTCCCCCCTAGGTCAAGAGATGCTGAATCCAGGGGTTCCCTTGTCTGGCTTCCAGTTGGGTTTGACCCAATGAGAAGCATGATCAGAAGACAGAAGACCTGGAGGAGAGAAGGTGTGGGGTATTTCTTTCCCACTTGCTCTTTGCTTGGAGGCTGAATCTCTGGTAGAGGCTCTGTCCCTCTACAAATTCAACTCTAACAAACCTCAAAGGAGGCTGAAGTTGTTAGAACCTGGAGTCTGGAAGGCAGAGAGCTCAGAGTGACCTCATGGTGCTGGTATATCTGAGAGGCACCCTGAAGTTGGTTCTTAGAATTCCAGACAAAGCTAAGGACGGGGACAAACTGTCAGGTCTAAGGTGAAAAGCTGTTGCTGGTGCAATGGTGCCAGGAACAGAAGGCAAAATAGGAAGGAACAAGTCCCTGCTCTCTCCTCCAGCCTCCTGCTAGCTCCCTTATTAGCAGAGCCTAAAAGGGAGTCAGCTGTGTTATGAATTGAATTGTGTGTCCCTAAAATATGTGTTGTAAATCCTAACCCCTGTACCTGTAGATCAGAAGCCCTGGTGGTACAGTGTTTAAAGTGCTCAGCTGCTAACTGGAAGGTTGGTAGTATGAACCACCCCCAGCCACTCTGCAGGAGAAATATGAGAGAATCTGCTTCTGTAAAGATTTACTGCCTTGGAAACCCTATGGACAGTTTTACTCTCTGTCCTACCTGGTTGCTATGAGTTAGAATAGATTCAACAGCAACAGATTGTTTTTTGTTTTGTTTTGTTTTTTTATGCCATGTTTTCAAAGCTGATTTCTGCCCAGAGTGTTATCCAATTTGTCCTGTCATTACAAATCTTACTCTCCCTTCCCCACAATGGCCCACCTGATGGCAGGTTTGTGGGAAGGCAGCCCCTGTGTTATGAGATTTTAGATTTCTCCAAGTGCAAGTGACTAGGACATTCTGATTAAAAATAGCACTCTTTGAAATTCCACTGAGACTTACCACTTACCTAATAATAAAAGTTTCTTCTGTTGTGCCATCAATGCAAACACCACATTCACACTCAGTTGCCCTTAATCTATCCTAATGCTTCTCCTTTGTGTGATCTATTTCTCTATCTATCTATCTATCTATATATACATAAGTTCTTCATTCGTGTGTTGACAACAAATTCTCTCCAGGAGTGTAAGTTTCCCCTGTTGAGCACTTGATAATGTCAGAATAGTTATAAACACAAACTACAGAAAATGGTCTTCATTGTAAATTGAACAAAAGGAAGTAAACCAATGCAGAAATGTTCCCATTCCTAGGTAAGACCTGCTATGAAATGCAAATGGCCAGATTCTAAAATGAGAGAGAAATGACAAGGAAACGCTTCTCAACACACACATACCTGCCCCTAAGACAGGAAAGAGGAGATTTCTCTGGAAAATGTCAATTACTAAGAAAAGACCAATTCATCGTTTGAAGGACTCTTCCCCCCCAAGTAACAAGGAATCCAGGACACAGAGGAGACAAGGGGAGTCCTGGGTTAACAGTTTTGCAGTCCATCTAGAAGGTTATCAACCTAAGTTAAAACTAGGATTTAGAAACCTCCAAAGAGAGTTCTCTTGTGGTGAAATATGGAACTTTGATGTAATAGTAGTATATTTGTAAGGAAATGTGAGAAGAGAGGCAATTAGAAACCCCAGGGAAAATGAAAAGCTGTATGAGAAAAGATACATTACAAGGACACTACATGGCTCTGCAATGGCTAATATTTACATAGGCATGATAATGTGAAAGCTATTTATGATTAGTGTTTAACTGAAAATAATAATGTAACTATTGAGAAGATGAGGAGAAACTAGTAGAGGAGAGGGTCAAAGAGCTTTTAGTAAATGCTCATTTTTAAAAGTGGGAAGAAAATTGTGCAAATTTGCCACCTCAAGAAATAGTATCCCAAATATATTAATTGGAGATGGAGAAATAATATTATAAGAAATAGCTAATAATAATTTTTTTTAAAAAAAGGGTGTACTTCTTAGCACCCCGATTGTGATGTTCAAATACCAGTTTTCCTGTAAAAGGAACCAGAGCTTGCTGGGGAAATGGCTGATTCCAGCTCTGGGGCAGGAAATGCATAAGAAGAGCCTAAGATTTGCTATAGGTCCAGAGAGCAGTAAAGCTTTCAAAGACCACTGGGGTCACATCAAAAGCACAGGAGCCAATCTGAAGGATTCCAGTAGACAAAAGCAGGGAAAATTTAAACATCAAGAAGAATAATGAATTCAATGGAGTGAAATCCTTCAAATGTATAAAAATCTATACAATCATAACTATCCTTTAAAAAAAATTAAAACCTGAATGCTTAATTTGGAAGTGCTAGTAAACAACTCATTATTCTGAAAATTGATATGGAAAGCAAAAATGGAAGCACTGAACCTGACTTTTCTGTACAAATACTTATTCAGGGTAACCAACTAGTTAATAAGGGAAAGAGTTTACAGAACTCTTTATAGAAAGATTTCTTTATAGAAAAATTTTAGCCACAAATGGCAAAATTTTAAAAAAATCAACATTTTTGCAACCTCTTAAAAAAATAATTTTCAATGGCTGCTAAAAGCATTAGGTAAAAGGTTGGCGAAGAACTTTGAAATGATAAAGCTGACTGTATCTGAGCCTACTGATCAATCTTAATATCACTAAAAGGGAAAAACCAAACTCACTGCCATCGAGTCACTTGTGACTCATAGCAACCCCTCCTTGGGTTTCCAAAGTGGTAGCTCTGTGGAAGTAGATTGCCCAATCTTCTGATCTTATGTGCTTCCTGATGCGATGCACTTATGACCATCCTTTCTTTTTTTTTCCTCCCCTATTGTACATCTTATCGTTAGTAATATGTACTACATACACTGTTGCAGCACATAATTTGCTGATGCTATCATTCTCAGATGTTCACTCATGGATGTTCAATGTTATGATTTATAAAGATATTGATAATAAAAGGCAATAATAATGAAAACTGGGGGAAAAAGGGTATTCAATTTACTTCAGAACCAACTTACAATGGAGTGATTCAGAACAGAGCCTCGTTGTAAGTCAGGAACTATCTATAGTCTAGAACTTGGGAGGAAGATTCAGACCGGACATACAGATTAAGAAGGAGTCATTAAAACCATGAGAATAGATGATATTGCCCTGGGAGCACACACAAAAGGGAAAGAGCACTGAACCTCAAAGAACCCCAGCATTAGGTTGAGAACATCTAGAACAAAGTAATATTTAGGGTATAGCTACTGGCCAAACTTCCTGTTGAAGCCATGCAAGTTTTTGGAGCTTAGGATGTCCAAAACGCTATTGGCTGTAAAATGCTATAGACCTGGGTTTCTGCTTCTAGATTGCAAATTCACATTTAGGTTTATGAGCCAGTATTGTTGATTATAATACAATAAATAAATGCTTACCTCATTGATGGTCAACATATCTTCTACTTTGGTAGCACCACTTTCTGGCAAGGAAATTAACACTGTTTTGGCTATCTCCTTTAGAACTGTATCAATATGCATTTCACACAAGTCACAGACCTACCAAAAAAAGAAAAAAAAAATGTGAAAACAACTCTTCTTTCCTTAGAGTAGGCTTTTCATCCAAAATATATTTGAGTTATAAATTAATTTAGAAGGTTAAATCGAGAAACTTGCATCCTGAGCCAAGCACAATTTAGCAGAGATTTTAGGAGAACATCACCAAAGGTAAGTTTGACATAGAACTAAAATTTTACTAAGCAGTAACACATGTCAGACACATAGCTACCTCATTTGCATTACCTCCTTTAATCTTCATTCCAGTACAGGAGGTATAGCCCAACTTTACAGCTAAAGACATCAAGGGTAAGAGAAGTAGTAACTTGGTTTACTTCTAGTGTATTAGAGCTTGAATTCTAAACCACTTGAGTTTGTGGAAGGCTGTGGTCTACAGTGGGAGCCCTAACTCCATTTTGAATCTTGACATAAGTTCAGTTGCCAGTTGAGCTCTTTCTGACCTTCACCATTATGGCTATGCATAAATAAGTTCCAGGACAAACCTAGAGAAGAGCAGTTTGCACTGATGAAGACTGTGGTTGAAAGCAGATTATGTTCACACAAAGAACTAGGGAACTTACCTGAATGTGTCCTCTTCTAATTTAAATTGACATTGGGGTCTTGGTAATGTTTTGTAGCCACCTGTGGTTATGACTCAGGTTGCATGGTCATGAGTCATAGCTGCACCACCACCTACCCAGGTAGCCAAGGCCCAAAACCAATCTTGTAACCCTTTTCTATCTTCAAATATGTAGGTATCTCAGTCATGGTCCTTTTCCGGCTGCTGTAGTCTGCCTGCGACAGTGATGAATCTATCTGCCACCAATCATGATTTTGTGGTGATTCCTTTGTTTTCAATCATATATAATTAGTCCCATGACTAATGGGGCCATGACTCAGGGGACCCCATTCAGCTTTCCTTACTATGTACATGCTGATGGTTTCCCTCATCTGTCTTTGATGAGGACAATTGTCTTTGTCCTATCCAAGGCTTAATAAAAGTGTCTCTACTGAACCTGTTTGAATCTGAGATCTCTTTCCCCTATTATACTAGTAAAACTAGTAACTAGTAATAGGTAGAGAAATGTACCCAAGTTTATTTGATTCCAAAGCCTCTAAATTTTGTCTACTACACCATGTTGCCAGCACAGACAGACTTAAAAGAAATATATCAAATCTGGTGCCATCAAGTGGAGCCTCACTCATGGCAACCCCACGTATTACGCTCCATAGGGTTCTCTTGGCTGTCATTTTTATAGAAAGGTCCTCTGCTGGCTCAATGGTTTGTGCTTGACTACTGATCAAAAGCTTGATAGTTCAAACCCACCCAGCAGCACCCAGGAAGAAAGGCCTGGCAATCTGTTTCTGAAAAGATTATTGTTAAGAAAACCCTGTGGAGCAGTTCTACTCTGTAACACATGGGGTCATCGTGAGGTCAGAATTGACTTGATGGTAACAGATTAGCTTTTCTTTTTTTCAATGTAGCAAATATGTTGGGAATCAATATGCAAACACCTTGAATTGACCCCCCCCCCCTTATGCTTAAGCACCTATCCTTGTCATCTTCCACAGTCTGTACAATTATCCCACTTCCTACACTACATTGTAGAGTTAGACCATCATTTTAACACATTAAAGGCAAGGTAATTTAGGGACAGATTTCTATAATATCTTTAACAATTTGACAAAACCATGTTTAATTAAGGATGGCTCTAAATAGATGAGAAAGGTTGGCAAGCAGCCAGAAATCTTGCAAGGTAAGTTTCTACATTTTTTCAGAAAAGAAAAAGGACAGCAGAAACCCACATAACTATGAGGAAGAGATTTCTGGTCATACATTAAAATCATCAAACAAAGATATTTTTAAAACCAAACAAACAAAACGCCTCTGATTATAAAAAGAACAAAACCAAACCCAAAGCCACTGCCATCAAGTCAATTCTGACTCATAGCAACCTTATAGGACAGCGTAGAACTTCCCCATGGAGTTTCCAAGGCTATAAATCTCTTCAGAAGCAGACTGCCTCATCTTTTTCCTATGTAGTGGCTGGTGGGTTTGAACCACAGACCTCTTGGTTAGCAGCCAAACGTGTTAACTACTTGTGTTAGGCTCGGTTCTCTAGAGAAGCAAAACCAGTAAAGCTTTTACAGAGAGAGAGAGAGAAAAAAAAAATTATCTTAGGAAAATGGCTCACACACTTATAGAAGCTGGCAAGTCCCAAGTTCTTTGATCAAACATCAAGCTGCAGGATTTTCCCCACTCACGCAGCTACAGTGGTTGATGAACTCAAGGTTGGCAAACAGTATATTGGCTGTTGACTCAACGAATCCAAGATCACCAGGCCAAATGGTGGATTGTTCACTCATGGACAGTTGTAGGCAGCACAACAGGATCCCAATCCACAGAAGAGTGTCTCATTTTCCCAGGATGTCCATAAATATATTGGAAGCAGGCCACATCCCTATGGAAACTCCCTTTCAACGGATTCGCTGCTCAAAACATATATATCCAATCCCATCATGGGAATAACCCACATCACAACTGCTTAAACCACACAGAATTGTGGTCCAGCCAAGTTGACACACAGCTCCAACTACCACTACTACTATACCACCAGAGCAAAACACCCCTAAATCCTAAAGCAGTAGACGAAACACAAAGCATTATTTTTTTTTAATGGATTTCCTTTTAAAAGTCACATCCTTTCACAGAATTTTTATAGATTTTCAAACTATTACTTATATTCTGAGTATTCACGTATCTAGCTCTTTCTATGTTTCAATCATACCTTCTTTAAAAGCTGATTGAACATATTCAATACTGAGTCCACTTCTTGAAAGAAACTTTCCAGTGTTAAAGATGACCATGTTAATATTGTGAGTCCTTGTCTCAACACAGATTCCACCTAGGAAAAGTGAAGATATAATAGCTTTCATTATTTATAGAAGCATCCCATATTTATAGAAAAGGCTTTCTGTTACTTTCTAGAAATAATACAGTTTATATTTCCTTAATTATATTTTTTCCTGCATTATGCCTAATAAAGATGAATTTTAAATTAATCTTTAGTTCTCCATGAAACAATCATAGATTGTTAGAAAGTGCTCATTACTGAGATTTCGTTTTTTTAAAGCAACAAAACTTAGATGAGAAATCACTCTGCAGAGAAAACAGAGCTATAAAGTTGAACTAGAAAGATAGATGGTCTAGACAAGAATTGTTGTGTGCTGTTAAGTCAATTCTGACTCACAGAGACCCTACAGGAGAGAGTAGAACTATCCCATAGGATTTTCTAGGCTGTAAGAGCTCTGGTAGCTTAGTGCCTAAGGCATTAGACTGCTAACCAGAAGGCTGGTGGTTCAAACCCACCAGCCACTCCTGGGAAGGAAGATGGGGCAATCTACTTCTGTAGTGATACTGCCTCAGAAACCCAAGGAGGGGTCGCTATGAGTTGGGTCTGACTCAACGGCACATAACAACAACAACAACAATCTGAAAGAAAAGAACACCAGGTCTTCTCTCCTGCAGAGCCGCGGGTATGTTCAAAGATGTTCTAACATTCACAATCTGTAGAACCAGTGTCTACTTTTAAATAACAGAGAAATGAATATAAGTCTTCAAATTACCAACCTTTTTCATTTTAGGGGCCATCAAGTTAACAAACACAGTAGGAACTTCTTGACATAACTCATCATAATACTGCAGAAGACCCTGTTAAAAGTCAGAATGGTATCATTTACTTTAATTCGCTATCAAGCAATATCAGATTTTGATTCATATCAAACCAAAAAACTAACTCTGTTGCTATTGAGTCAATTCCAACTCAGAGTAACTCTATAGGACAGAGTAGAATTGTACCATAGGGTTTCCTAGGAAGTAGTCTTTACTGAAGCAGACTGCCACATTTTTCTCTCATGGAGCAGCTGGTGGGTTCAAACCACCATTTTGGTTAGTAGCTGAGCACTTTAAACCACTGTTCCACCAGGCCTCCTATTTGATTCACACTAAACTCTGGTAGTGTAGTGCCTAAGGCACTTGACTGCTAACCAGAATGCTGGCGGTTCAAACCCACCAGCCACTCCTCGGAAGAAAGGTTAGGCAATCTATTTCTGTAGTGATACTGCCTCAGAAACCCAAGCAGGGGTCGCTATGAGTCAGGTCCAACTCGACGGCACATAACAACAACAATAACAACAAACTCAAAAACTCACTGCTGTCAAGTTGGATCCAACTCATAGGAAAGTTTAATTATATGTTTCCTTATAATCTTGCTGACTCAGGCTTGCTCACTTAAATTTATACTGATTTACTGTACTGCTTCCTCACCTATAAACTACCCTTTAAACATCAAGTCAATGGAGCTTTCTACATTTTAATTTGTAATATTTATTATTTAATTGTCTCCCAAGATCTATGGGTTTTTTTTAATAGTTGGCATAATTACCTTTTAATGATGTCTGTCAGTATTTTCCCCCTTCTGTTCCTTGTCTTTTGGTATATTAAAGCATATTCATCTTATCACTAATGCCACCCTTGTTTTCTTGAATCAAAATAAATTTAAATTCCCTGCATAATCAAAATTAATAACCTTTTATACTTTCTTTTAGATATTTTTTCAAATGCACTATGATGCTCAATTATTTTTTATTATTATTTAAAAATATAATTAATGAAACATAAACTACATTATGTCCAGATAATAACAAAAAATTGTGTAATTTATTGCACTGTGCAGTGGAAGAAGTGAATTCAAAATAATTTTATCAAAATTAATAATATTAAACAGTTTCAAAGTTTACTAAATAGATTCAAAATTATTGATTCTTTTCCTCTTTTTGTTACTTGAAGTTGAGCATGTATTGCTTTGCTTTTATTTATATGTCACACTTGGCAAAGGACTTCAACATTCACCATTTCACTCCACGTTAACCAAAATCCTGTAAGATCGAATGCAAGTAATAATAGCACTTTGACACATAATTCCTCAAAGTCACAACTGGCCAAGACAAATACCTAGACTTTTGATACCCAGTCCAAGGTTTCTACGATGCCAAAGATCCTCTGAGTTTATATAAGTATAAATACATATACACCAAACCAAACTCACTGCCATGGAGTCAGTTCTGACTCATAGCAACCCCCATTGGGTTTCTGAGGTTGTAAATCTTTACAGAAGTAGATTGTCCCATCTTCCCTTTACGGAGCAGCTGGTGGGTTTGAACCACTGACTTTCTGGTTAGTAGCCTAATGTCTTATCCACTATGCCACCAGAGCTCCTTATAAATATGTATAACAATTAAATGTGATTTTAATAAGAGCTAAAAATATGTAATAGTGTGTATTAGAAAAGATGGGGATAAATCTTTGTGTCCCTGGATTAGGCAAAGATCCTTAGATACAACACCAAAAGCACAATGGACAAAAGAAAAAAAAATAGATAAGTTCAATTAATCAAAATTAGCAATTTGTGTGCATCAAAGAACAGCATGAGGAAAATGCAAAGACAACCTACAGAATGAGTGAAAATATTTGCCAATAGTATATCTGATAAGGAACTTGCAGGATATATAGGATGTGTACAAAACTCTCACAAGTCTATAAAAGACAAATAATTAAATATGGGCCAAAGATTTAAACAGACATTTCTCCAAAGAAAATACACAAATGCCTAACAAGCACACGAAAAGATGCTCACATCATTAGCTATTAACCTGTAGGGGTAAAGTTGATTCCAACTATAGGAACAGAGTAGAACTGACTCACAGGGTTTCCAAGGCTACAAATCTTTTTAGAAGCAGACTGCCACATGTCTCTTCCACAGAATGGCCAGTCTTTCAATTAGTAGCTAAGTGCTTAACCACTGCACCACCAGGGCTCTTCTCAGTAGCTATTACAGAAATACAAATCAAAACCATAACGAGGTACCACTTCACATGCACTAGGATGGCTATTATCAAAAAGGCTTGTGAGGATGTGGAGAGACTGGAACCCTCATCCACTACTGGTGGGAACGTAAAATAGTGCAGTTGTTTTGCCAGTTTGGCAGTTCCTCAAAAAGTCAAAGAAAAAAATTATCACACGACCCAGCAATTCCACTCCTAGGTATATACCCAAGGGAAATTACAAAATATGTCCACTCAAAAACTTGTGCTCAACTGTACATAAGTAGGATTACTTACAATAGTCAAACAGTGGAAACAACCCAAATGTCCATCGACTTATGAATGGATAAACAAAACTTGGTATATCCATGCAGTGGAATATTATTTGGTCATAAAAACTAATTAAGTGCTGATACATGCTACAACATGGGAAACCTTGAAACATTATGGTAAGTGAAAGAAGTGGAAAATAAAACTACATATTGTATGATTACATTTATGTGAAATGTCCAGAATAGACAAATCCATAGAGATTAATGACTTCAGGGGCTGGGGCTAGAGAAGATTAGGGGAAAATAGGGGTTAACTGGTAATGGGTATAGTTTTTCTCTCTGGGATGATGAAAATGTCTTAAAATTGATTGGGAGGTGGTTGGACAACTCTGAATATACTAAAAGCCATTGAATAATTATTGCATGAATAATTAAATTAAATGCATGAATTGTTTGGTATGTGAATTATATCATCTTAAATCTACTATTTTTAAAAATTGTTTTTGGAGATCTCTATTCTAATACTTTCACTCTTTTTGTTGTTGCTCTTAATGTCATCTATTAATATAATTGCCATTTAAAATTTATTATGATGGGAGCTCTGGTAGCATAGTGCCTAAGGCATTTGACTGCTAACCAGAAGGCTGGCAGTTCAAACCCACCAGCCACTCCTCAGAAGGAAGATGGGCAATCTACTTCTGTAGTGATACTGCCTCAGAAACCCAAGGAGGGTCGCTATGAGTCGGGTTCGACTCGACGGCACATAACAACAACAACAACATGATTTCTAACAAGGTAAATTCTTGAAATATTCTTTGATATTCTTGTTAGATTAATTTCTAGGAGAACTTCATCATCAAGTTGTCTGCATGCCCAGACACAGATTTTAATTAAACCAAGAGATTTTATAAAGACATATTGAAATGGCAGATTTATATTTACTCTTCCCAGCAAGAAAAAGGAAAAATCTTTATTTACTTATTACATTACCAATTATAAAAGTAGCTAGTGCATTTTACACCACAGCAAGTAGAATTCTTTTTCTCATTGAATCATCATTTATTCCATTCATTTCAATGTGTTTATCTCATAACTCATATTTATCCTATATATAATAAATCCATATGTTTGCCTTAATTTTGGTTAAGTTCCCAGATATTCAATTATGTTATTTAAAAAATGGCTAACATCTTTTCTCTTCTTTTCCTGTATTTTTAATCTCAATTCATTCATCCTTTCCATTAGATACTGCTAGCATATATAGTACTGTTCCCAACAGGAGTGTTGGCCCAAGGCTTAGATGTGTTGTTCCTATATTAGAACATTACTTTAGTGTTTTCCTATTAGTCCTAATGTTGATTGGTGGCTTTAAATATATATTGTATTTTTATGACTCAAAATAGACTCAATAGCAATAGATTTAGTTTTTGGTTTTTATAAGTAATATAAACATGTAGAAAATACAGAAAATTATAAAGAACAAAATTAAAATCAACCATAATCTAATTAGCCAGAGATTAACATTACATTCTGTCATGCTTTTATTTAGTCTTTTAGGTGTACATATTCATATTTTACACAGCTGACATGATACAGATAATACCATTTGTACCTTGCCCTCTTCTCTTACTTTAACCACATTGTTGAAAACTCTCTATCTTTTTAAACAGTTACATAATTTCTTTCTTTTTTTTTTAAATTTTTATTGTGATTTGGTTGGAAGTTTACAGAGCAAATTCACTTTCTATACAGCAGCTCACATTCACTTTGTCTCATGACATTGACTGCAATTCCCCACAATGCAACAGCTCCCCTCCCACTTCCTCTCCATAGTTGCCTCTTCCCTGTGTCCTTCCCTCCCATGCACTCCTGCCCCTGGAGCTGTCTCCCTGTGCATACACAGCCCTTGTGATTGATCTCTCCCGTGATTGATCTCCCGTGATTGATCTCTCCAAGGAGTGTATCTAAGTAGTGTAAACATTCAGCTCATATGCCTATCTTTTGTTTGGCTGGCAACCACAACAGTGGGTTCAATTCTAGATCTGAAGGGCAGCTAGGGGCCATAGTCTCAGAGGTTCCGCCAGGCTCTATCAGACCAGCAAACCTGGTCCCTTTTCTTTTTTTTTTTAATGATTTTGAGTTTAGTTCCACATTGTTCTCCCACTCTATCCAGGATCTTCTACATAGATCCCCATCCTACTGGTTGACAGTGATAGCTGGGCACCATCTAGTTCTGGTCTCATAGTCGTACAGGCTAAGGATCACATGGTGCACCAGTCATTTGGACTAATATTAAACAGTTACTTAATTTCTTATAGGGCTGTACCTCAAGTTTATTTAGCAGTTCCACTTGGAAAATAATTTTATATTGTATAAAAGCTTTCACTATTACAAATAATGCTGTAATGAAGATCTTTATAGTTGAATCTGTCTGTATTTCTAGTTATTTCCTTAGAATGTGTCCAAATTCATAATTTTTCAAGTTTAATTTGATTATTGAATAAGTAATACTTACATCAAGTACATGGATATGATATTCAATATTGTACTGAAAAAATAAGTTTTTCTTCACAACCCATCTCCTGGTTACCTTCTAAGAGGTGACCAATGGTTTTTTTTTTTTAACATATATTGCATACCATACACATTGACCTTTGTGTTGTTATTGTTACCTGCCATCGAACTGGACCCCAACTCATGGCAATCTCCCCTGCACAAAAATACAACATGCCATTGTGATCCAGAGGGTTTTCAGAAGTACATCACCCTACCTTTCTTCTTAGTCTATCTTAATCCGGAAGCTCTGCTAAAACCTGTTCAGCACCATAGCAACATGCAAACTCCACTGTGTATGAGGTTAACTAGCCAGCAATCAAACCTGTATCTCCTATATGGAAAGCAAGAATTCGACCACTCAGCCACCATTGTTCCTTAGCTCCATATTGATCTTAGTGTTGTTTTTCTTCATTTAACAATACCTCCTGCATATAGCTCCCTATCTGTATATAGAAAGCTGCCTTATTCTTTTTTAACGGCTGCATGGCATGCCAATGTATAAATGTACCTCTATTTCTTTAATCAGTTCTCTACTGCTGGATTTAGATTTCAACCTTCTGCTATTACTAATAGTGCTGGAAAATATATCCTTGTATTCATATATTTGCCTGCCTCTCCAAAATATACATCCACAGCCTTCCTAGAGAAAACAAAGAACTAGATTAACTTAGTTTGCTGTTTTAATTGTCTTTTGGCTTTCTAAATAAATTTTGACGTTACTTGCTCTGACATTTTAGAAACTATGCATTAAGATTTGAATATATTTTGATTTAATCTCTTTCAGCCAGTTTTGAATGTCAATTTCCATCTTCTCTGTTCATTTTTTTTCTCATTTTAGCCTGCCCCATTACCCCACTAATAACATGATTGAAATAATGCCTCATTTTACCTCACACTCTTGAAGAATCATCTTCCACTCATATAATATTATAATCATCCCACTTTATAATTTATATCATATTAGTATCCCTTGAGTTAAATGTATTGTGAAAGAATAATATACTTAACCTGCAAAATTGGGAGTAGCATTGTTTAGTGACAGAACTCCTGCTTTCCGTGTGGGAGATTCGGGTTCGATTCCCAGCCAGGGCACCTCATGTGCAGCCACCACCATCCCTAAGTGTAGCCTTGTGTGTGGTCATGATCTTGAGCAGGTATCAATGGAGCTTCTAGACTAAGATGGAAAAGGAAAAAAGGCCTGGCAACCTACTTATGAAAATCAGTCAGTGAAAACACTATGAATCACAATGGTCTGATCTGCAACTGATTAATCATGGGGATGGCACAGAACTGGACAGCTTCATTCCATTGTGCATGGGTTACCATGAGTTGGGACCAACTCGACAGCAGCTAACAACAAAAATAATCTATAAAATTATAATATTAAGAATATTATTATTTTAAAAAAAAAAAAAAGGACCAGGTTTGCTGGTCTGATAGAGCCTGATGGAACCACTGAGACTATGGTCTCTAGCTGCCCTTCAGGTCTGGAATTGAACCCACTCCTGTGGCTTCCAGATAAACAAAAAACAGGCATATGAGTTGAACATTTACCTGAGGTAGATGCACTCCTTGGAGAGATCAATCATGGGAGAAAAAAGGGCTGTTTATGCACAGGGAGATAGCTCAGGGGGCAGGAGTGCATGGAGGGATGGACACGGAAGAGGTAACTATGAGGAGGAAGTGGGAGGGGAGCTGTTACATTGTGGGAAATTGCAGTCAATGTCATGAGACAAAGTGTATGTGAACTGCTGTGTGGAAAGTGAATTTGCTCTGTAAACTTTCACCCAAATCACAATAATATAT